GCCAGAAAGTTCCTCCAGGACCTGGGGGCCCAGATCCTCCCAGTCTGAGGACGCTCATTCTGAGGAGTGATCTCAGTATCCGTATCCAAGGAGGAGGAACACCGGGATTGGGGGATGCCACATCCCCTGTTCTCCTCCTAATAGGAGACTCTCTCCTCACCCTTCTCCGTCCATCTCTTCGAACCATAGGACCTCACATTCGGTGCCTGACAAATCTACGCCCCTGGGTTGTCGGTGTCTCCGCCGCAAATTACAGACCCTCAGGCTCAAGGGCAAGATCCGACCCAAACAACTTATTTTCTACTGTAACATGGCTTGGCCTCAATATTAACTAGATAATATGACTCTCAATGGCACAAAAATGGGACCTTAATTACACCACTCTCGGAGATTTAGATGACTTCTGTCAGCACAACAAAAAACTGGACAGAAATTCCGTGTATCCAAGGCCTTTTCCACTCTTCGAGCTTCAGCCCCTACTGCCAACCTACAACAATTTCCAAATTCCCCCAGCCCACTCTAAGCCATCTCCTCCTTCAGATTAAACTCCCTCCTCGGACATCACTGATGATCGGGCTGCCTCTTCCTACGCGCTGCTATCCACTCAGCCTAAACCTTCTCCCCCGAGCCTCGGCTCCTTATTTCAGGATTTGGTTCTGTAAGTACTCTGTTTATATAACTTATTTGTTTTATTTGCCTCCAGTCTGTCTTTTCTCTTTTTCTTTTTCTTTTCCTTTTCTATTTGTCTTAGACACCAACCTGATTGGGAGGTCTGTATCTATACCTTCTGTGAGGCCCCTAAGTCATATATTTAAAATTGTTTTGTACACCAGCACTACATTCAGGAACTTGACAAAAGTCTTAAAAGGTTTTTCTAACTCTCAGTGACTTTCAGGGTCTTACAGATAACCTCATAAGTAAACAAAAAGCTGCTGCAGCCTCCGCTTGAGGCTGAGGTAACTGAAGAAAAAAAAACGCACTTTTAAACCCAGGCGGCAAGCCACCCTACTCCTTATTACAGCCTCCTAATGTTATAAGGACAACTATAAGATCTTAGGTCGTTTCTAAAATTGTTAGTGGTTCTGTTTATATATTTAGTCTCTAAGGTCTATACTTGTTTATGTTTTATATATATTTTAATGTTTAACATCCGGACGGTATTACCAGTTTATANGTCCACGCTTCCTGGGGGAGATACGGAGGTCAAGATGGTACAGAAGCATGTCCCACCTTCTCTACGAAGCCTCAGTACCTGCGGGACAGATACAGAGGTTTACGAACTTTCCTCAAAACATAGGGCAGCACAGGATGTGAAAGGCATGATGGCGGCTCTGGCCCCCGGCTTGCATGAGACACTGTGGCTCCCCGGAACTCATGAACGCTGGCTGCCTTCTGTGGGGACGAGCTGGCCCCTGGCTCTCCTGACAGACTCACGCTTCCCAATCACCTGGTGATCTGAAAACCTGGTACCACAGGAACTGATCGCTGAAATTGTGACTGGAGGAAGCGTACATCGGAAACTGGTTTGGAGGAAGCACTCACATGACACCAGCCTAGAGAAAATGCTCAGAACTTCAGCCGGCTGACATGCAACCCTGATCCCTGGCACATGCTCTGTTCCTCATATACTGGCTGAAGCTTCGATGAAGATATAACCTCCGAGTTTCACCAGTCCCTTTACCCCGGGCACCCCATGTGCCTCTGAGGCTGGCTCAAGCTAGGATGGGAAAATCTCATCTAGGTCTATCCTTGCTTTTCCCCCATACATCCCCTCTCCCTGACATGCTGCCTGGATCCAGGATGAGACATCACCTCCAAGGTTTCTCCTTGCCTCTTGCCCAGAACCACCTTTGCCCTTCACACCCTGGTGGAAGCAAGATTTCAGATTTCCTACCGGGTCTCACTTTACCCATTTCTCCAGGCATCCCCTCGGCTCCTGACATGATGGATGGACCTGGGATGAAAAACTTGCCTCCGGGTTTCTCCGCCATTTACCCCCCTGCCCCTCACACTCCAACCAACACACGTGTAAGCTCTGACAGACGACACACCTTCTAAGGGCTCCGGCTGCCTGACTGCTCAAATTTAAAAAGGGAGCCTAGCAGCGATTTGCACAGGGACTCCTCATGTAGAATGCACTTCAGGGAGAAGCGTGCAGTAACCCGCCTGCCTCCCCAACTGAAATGCCTATGGAAGATGTCTATCAGGGGTACAGGAGAGCAGCCAGAACCAAACCACACTGGTGCTTGGGGAGCAATGCAGAGCAGTGCTGTCTAGTCAGAGAGGGAACTTGCCCCGTGATCACCTCACTCCAGGGTCTGATGCTCCCTAATTGACCTGTGATACTATTGATGTGCTCCCCAGCCGTGGTGTCTGCACAGCC